ATAAAACGACTTCTTAAATAAGAGAGGAATATTGGAGAAGAAATTTTAAAATCAAATTATTATTTTATTTGTATTTTATTTTCTATTTTATTAGAAAAATATGCATTTTTGAAAATTGCATTTTAGGCCAGAAAAATGTTCATCTTGTCCTAAACATTAGGTTTGGATGGTAAAAATTGTTTCTGGTATTTTAGGATTTTTCTTTCGGGCGAATTTTTTTTAAAAAAAATTCTTCGCCCGACTGGGCCGAAGGCCCAGCCGAGCCGGCCCGCTACCGCCGCCGCCTTCCCGCGCCGGGACGGAGTCCCGCTCCCGCACGCCTCACCGGAGTCCGGACCGGACTCCGTGTCCGCCGCCGCCTTGTGCCCCTTCTCCAAGCCGGGCTGACCCCCTCTCTTTATAAGCCGCAGCCGCCACCCCTCCTCCTCATCGCCCCGCCGCGCTGCAGCCTGCCCTGAGCCGCCGCCCGCCACCGCTTGCACGCCGCCGCCTCGCGCCGCTCCCCGCCTCCCTTCGCCGCCTCCCGCCGCACCCCGCCGCCCGCTGCCCTGCCTCGCGCCGCCTCGCCGAACCCGCCGAAGCCGCACCGGATCTCGTCGCCGTTTTTTCCGAAAACCGGTAAAAACCGCAAAAAACCGCTCGGTTTTCTTTTGTTTTTCAGTTTAGGTTAGATCGATTTTTCTTTATTTTAGTTCGTTAATTAACAAACGTTCATTGGTTAGTTTTTGTTAACGAACGAATTCGTTCGTTTAGTTCTGTTAGCGAACATTCGTTCTTTAGGTTTTTCTTATAATTTTAATTTTTTCGGCCAGGGACCTATCCGCGAATACTTTTATCACAGATTAGTCCCTAATCTTCAAACCCCCGCTACTTTCTGCTCGTTTGTCTAAATCTAGTGAAACCAACGCCAAAATCTTCGTTTCGTTCCCCTCTTTCCAGATAATCAACTTGAACATGATTTTGACAAAATTAAAATTTGGTTTTAAGCAGATTTGAATTCGAATTTCTTTTGATCGCAGTTTGAGTTTCGTAGCTCCGATTCGATTGATTCTTTTTGCAAATCGAAGCTCTTCAGTTGAACTTTCAGTTTGGAACTTTTCCCTTGAGTTTTACCTTTGCATATTATGCTTGAGTGCTTATGTGTGCTATTGTTTGTTCACGATAAAGTTTCTGGAGTGCGAAGCATGCTACTACGAATCACTAGGGTTTTCAGATCGTCAGCAAGGCAAGTAAAACTTTGATCATATCCCTTTGTTACCCAGTTTTATGCATTAGTTTCAACCCTCAAACATTGCATGAGTAGGTTTGGTAACATGTGGGTATTGGGAAGTAGTTGACGAGGTAGCACCTAATGTCTTATATCAAACCCTGGGTACTTTCTACATATGCTTATATTGCTATGCTATGCTCGTAGACATGGTTTGGTTGAGAGAATTCATGAAAGATGTGAGAGATTATTGTTAACTAAGGTTTAACTTAAGGTGGCTACTTTAATACACATCTGGGTGGATTGGTTTGTGGGCACCTGGGGAATCCAGTGTTGTCCAAGGGGATCCCGGGGAATCCATGTGATCATCCTATGGTTTGCCACCCAAACTCAAATGGATCATTATGTTATTCATGCTGGAAACTTCCGTGTGCAGCACAAGCCATTATGGGTTCTGGCATAGTTGAGTATGTTGTGTGACCTCTTACAGTGGTAGACTAGCAGATGTAGGGGATGTATGTGGTACTGTCTACCCGTCGTAACGAGCTAATGCTTCTGAAAGACCCTGTCTCGGTCATCCGTTTCTCAAACACCATGTAGTGCGAGAAATTCAATAGAGGAGATCGAGTCTTGTGGGGAAAAGTGCGCAAACCTTTGCAGAGTGTATAAACTAATCATGATTAGCCGTGTCCCCGGTTATGGATATCTTGAGTATCTGGTGCTTCAATTATTATGTTGATCTCATCACTTTACTTAATTAATTTGTTGGGTTATTGATTATTAATTTGGGATTAAGATGGGGTTACTATTTTTAATGTTTTCAACAAACTTTGTAGTTAAATAAAATATATTCGTTTGTTGTAGGGAAAAAATAGCTTTCTGCAAATGATAACCATACAACCTCCACCTGCCATATATGCATGTAGTGATAGTTGTTTTCTGTTCATTGCTCTATAGTGTTATTTTGCCAGCATATTCCATGTGCTGACCTACACAGACTGCAACGTATTATGTAGCAGAGTTTTCAGACGAAGAGTAAGGTGCGCTAGATCGTTGTCGTACACTCAGATATGCCGTTGGAGTTGATGGACTCATTTACTCCCTCCAGTCCTTTTTACTCTGCATATTAGATTTGTTTGAAGTTAATCTCATCCAACTTTGACCAAGTTTATATAAAAAATTATAGACATTCACATAACAACACCAATATCATTAGATTCATCTTGAAATATATTTTCATATTATATTTATTAGATATTATAGATGCTAATAATTTCTAATATAAAGTTGGTCAAACTTAGCAAAGTTTGACTTTCGGCAAATCCAATGTGCAGAGTAAAAAGGACCGGAGGGAGTACCTTCGAAGCTTCCGCTGTTATCTTATTTAGATGGCCTTCAGTCATATTATTGTAATAAGTTCTCTTTTGAGACATTTGATGTAATAAATGTGTGATTGAACTCTGTTATAGATTCTCGAGTACTGTGTGTGTCAGTATTACCGATCCAGGAATGCCACTTATGTACAGAGATTTGACTGTCTGAGGCCGGATCGCTACAAAAACCGGCCAAACAAACTAAAAAAGGAAACTAGACGGGGAAGGTGTTTTGAAATTTTTAGCGTTATATTTGACATAGAAGTAAGCAGGCACAATAGGTTGTTACTGCGGGTGATTGTAAACTATGAGGTCCGGAGTTTGAAACTCACATCACGCACACATTTTTTGAAGGTTAAACTATGAGTTCCGGAGTTTGAAGCCTATAACCGGTGTTGAGGGTGCCAAATAGGAGGAGTTGGGAGCCACGTTATCCATTTCTTGGGCATTCCATATTTGACGCTTGAGGCGCCGTTGCTATTGTTTTTGCAGACGAGCTTTCTTTTATTCTTTTATGTTGTTAAAACCCCAAAAACTGCACGCACGCCTTCGAAGTGATCCGAACTGGCGAACTCCTGGTCATTTGTAGGCCGCACTAACTACCCCACCGTCCTCAATTCATGTGGTTAGATGTATATTCTTCATTCTTTTCTTCTTACGTCTTTCTTTTTTTCTATTTCTTTTTTCTTTTCCTGTTTTACCTTTTTATTCGAAATGGTTTTGTTCAGTTTTTATTATTTTATCTTTTTTTCGTTTTAAGTTGAATGAACTTTTTTTTAAAATTGATGATTTTTTAAAAAAAATTGAAGATCTTTTTTCAAAATAAATGTTTTTTTCAAAATTGATGAACTTTTTTCAAAACTAATGAACTCTTTTAAAATTGATGATTTTTTAAATGATGAACTTTTTTTTAAATTCGGTGAACATTTTCCAAATTCAATGATTTTCTTTCAAATTTGAAGATTTTTTTTCAAATTTGATGAACTTTTTTTTGAAATTAAAGGTTTTTTTAAATTGATGAAACTCCTTTTTAATTTGTGAACTTTTCTTAGAAAATGATGAATTTTTTCTAAATCAATGAAGTTATTCAAATTCATGATTTTTGAAATAATTCAGAAAACTAAGTGATACAGTACACATGCAATAAATAGCGCGGCCGCATGTTTTTATATTGTTGGCGCTTTTATCATTCACTATAGTTGGTTATGCACACTTCTACGTGAAGACAATGGCTTGTTTTTTAGCTCTTATGAGTTCTGTGTAGCGTGTTCGTGGGCCGGCCCAACTGGGCGCTGCTTTGAGTAGCAAGTTATAAGGCCGAAATCACTAATTGACCACTCCCGTCTCCTTGGGTTGTGACAAAGTGGCGTGCTGATGTGCATCATTTGTCGCAACTTGAGAGTTTTTCGTTTTTCGTAGATTCATTTATTCAAAATATTTTATCTCTTAAATCGTGTGTCCAAATCTTGAACCGTTTTCATCGTTGGATTCCCCGCGTTGAGATCTTCAAAACTAGATTCCATGTTGATAGGTTTTGACGGATTTTTTCTACAAAAAACTGGACGAAAAAACTGAACCGGAAGCATTGTTTGTTCCCTTTCCAAAAGAGGCACGGTCGTGCCTCTTGCGAAAGCACAATCGTGCCTCTCGCGCAAGCAAAACCGTGCAACTCGCGGAAGATTTTTTTTTTTTAGAAAACACGCCTTTTTCCGTTTCCGAGAATCACGACTAAAAAAAACCATGCCTCTCGCGGAAGAAAAAAAAATAGATTAACATATTTTTTTTGTTTCCAAGAGACACGACTGTGCCTCTCGCGGAAGAAAAAAAATGCATTTTTTCCATTTTCTGAGAAGCATGTTTGTGCCTCTCGTAAAAACAAAGTCGTGCCATTCACGGAAGCAAAATCATGCCTCTCGCGATAGCAAAAACATGCGTTTTTCATGAAATATTTATTTTTCGAATTTATTTTTTTGTCCAAAAATTAAGGAAGATTGATGAAAAAGCAAAAAAGCCAAAAAAAATCTAGAAAATCCATTTAAAATGCCAAAAACATGTGAAAGAAAAACAAAAATCCAGAAGAAACGCCCAGAGCGCGACATGTGGCGGCAGCCGAGAGCGCGCCAAATGACGCGCTCTCAGCCTACCCACAAATGATCGTTGAGAGGCTTCCGAAGAAGGGCTCGTCAACTAGTTGCTTTTTATATGGCGCCTAATAGGAGGTCCCATTTTTCTTAGTCTAGCCACGTTAACCAAATGAACGCAATCCATAGCCTTTTTTTTTCTTTTTCTTTTAGGCAAACGCAATCCAGAGCCGAGTAGCACCATCCCAGATAAAATAGACTATCAGCCCATGAGCAAAACAAGCCCAATCACTCTCATTACCCCTTTCCTGCCGCCACCGCCGCCGCTGAAGGGCGTTCATGGCGCGGTGGTCGTCTCCGAAGGACCCGGCTCTGGAGGCGGCCCTCCGCCGCAACCGGCGCTGGATCGTGAACAACCAGATCAAGCGCCTCCTCCTCCGCTTCCCGTCCCGCTCCGCCCCCGTCCGCCTCCTCCAGTCCCGCTTCAAGACGCTCGACCTCCTCGGCCGCGCCGCCAACTGGCTCCGCAAGTATCCCTCCTGCTTCGAGCTCTTCACCGGCGAAGGCCCGGCCGGGAGCGGCGGGGAGCTCTGCTTCGGCTTCACCAAGCGGATGGCGGAGCTCGTCGACGCCGAGGAGGCCGCCGTCACCGCGTCCGAGCCGGCCATGGCCGACCGCCTCGCGCGCGTCCTCATGCTCACCCGCGGGCGCCGCCTCCCGGTCTCCAAGCTCGCCGCGCTGCGCGGCCCGCTCGGCCTCCCCGACGACTACCTTCTCCGCATCCTCCCCGCCCACACCGATCTCTTCCGCCTCGCCAACCCGTACCCTCACCGCCGCAATGCCGCAGAGCTGGAGCTGCTCCGGTGGGTCCCTTCCCGCACGGTCTCTGCCATCGAGGCCGCTGCCTCGGCGAGCAACTCCCTCCCGCGGTTCACCTGCTCGTTGCCGTCCTCTTGGGCCAAGTCCCACGACAAGATGGAGGACTTCAACGCCACACCCTACATTTCGCCCTACTCGGAGGACGGGGCAGTGCCTGGCACAGACGCACAGGCTGAGAAGCGTGCCGTGGCTGTGGTTCACGAGCTTCTTTCGCTCACCTTGTGGAAGAAGATTTCGGTTATGAAGCTAGAGCACTTCAGATGGGAGTTTGGGCTGCCAGAAGACACAGCTAGGATGCTGCTCCGGCATTCTTGCCTCTTCTATGTGTCGAATCGGTATAAGATTCACACGGCGGTGCTCCGTGAGGGTTACGAGGGGTCTGAGCTGAGGGTGAAGGATCCAGTGGTGGCAGCAAAGGATAGACTCGGGGAACTGATGCAGGAGGGTCTGCACGAATTTAATCAGCGTCGACGTGCTGTGAATTTGGAGAAGAAGAGGAGGAAAGGTGAAGTTGATGTGAAGAAGGAAGAAGAGGAGCTCGAAGATGAGGCAGGGGCACTGTTGGATAGTGCGGAGAAGAGGGAGGAAAGACGGAGGTTTTACAAGGTGTTGTTTGGTGATGATAACCGGTGATTGGTGTATGTAAGCCTGATGCCCCTCTAGACAAATTGTTGAACGAATGATGATATCTTGTGATACACTAAAGCAATAAGAGTGACACTGCTATGAAGAGACGACACATCTATCTGCACATGGAAATTGTTTGGGTTGTTGTCTCGCTTGCTGGTCAAAGAGAATTGATTTCCAACCTGCTAGTTTTTCTTTTCAGGACATGTAATTGGAGAACTGCAGGAATACCAGCCAGCCAGGCAGTTTGATCTTTTTGTAGATTATAGCATGCCCCTTCAGGATAAAAGCAATCACATATGGATTCTCCTAAATGAATAAATGGTGGAATTCTGGTGTAAAAGGGGTCCTTATCAAGGAAACCAAACATATGGATGCAATCAATGTGTGTGAGAAAGATCGACAGATCTGCAGAACTTGCAAGTGAAATGCCAATGCACACTGGTCTTATATTGTCAGAGAGAACAGAAATCATGAGCAGCAAATGCTGCATGCAAGCATGTGCAATTGACTATCTACAAAAGAGAGCACTGCGATTTTGGTGGATATTTGCGCACAGTTGGAGTTATAGCCTTCTTGTATAGCAAATATGATCATCCCCAGAAATGGAACTTTGATGAGAATGATTTTAGGTACACACCTTTTTCCTGTTTTTTTAGGAAAATGTTTTGTTATAGTTGAACTTCTGTGTGTTGGCATTTCAGTTATGAGGTTTTATAGATGGCAACCTTAAAAAAATTCATTCATGTCCTGTCTAGTCATTGTTATCACAAAATTCTTTAGTTAATCATTTAAATTCTACTGGGATGATGCTTTGTCCTCACGTAAGCACTTATTTGCTTATGCCAGTTTGGCACTGAGTGGTGGATTACTGGACTAATGACTCGTTGCATTTTGAAATGAGTAGTATATTTCTATGTAACAGTCCATGGGCCTGTATAACCAATTAACAGCTTGCTCAACGAGTAGCAAGTTATATACTATATGTTGCCTGCTGATGTTGGGGTATAAGTAAAAGTAAGAAAATTAAACCTAAACAGAAGGATACATAAAAGGAGCTTTAACAACTTGATAACCATATGTGGCAAGGATATAAGCCTGCCTTTATGTTTGAAGAGCATAGGGAAGTGGGAATCAATGGAAAGCTATTGAAGAGAAGTGCCAACCATCACAAGCACCAAATTCTGGATTTATTCATGGTCTAAAAGCACATCCATCCCTTGTTTTTCTGGTGCTGCCATGCCTTCCGTTATCTTGTTGCTACCTTCCCATCCTGCAAATGTGATGTAAATCACAGTTTAGTATTTTTAGTCATTAAAGCTTGTGATGTGAACATGCATGTTTTGTTTTATATTTTGTTTCAGCAAGGAGAGATACCTTTGGACATGTTGAAGCCACGATTTTCCAGCTGCTTGTACTCTTGGCATAGTGCGCAACTCTCACAGCACATGTGAACAAAGCAGTCCATGCAGGGTGATCCTTGGAAGTTGTACTGTGCCCGCATTGAGGAACGTTTGGTACAAGAATACAACCAGTTGCAGCCTATGGATCCTAGCAAAACATACAGGGTCCCATGCATGCAGCATGCTGGAAACAAGGGGAGTTAGCCAACAAGATGTATGTTTTTATGCTTGATCCCAAGCGCAAATTGTAATTGAAGCACATTCATCCTGAGCCTCTGTCCACAACCTCAGCAATGCGACCAAATGTAATGCAAGGGCACCAACAAGTCAAGCAACCTGCAGCATTAGCCACAAAAATGAAGCATCAGGATGTAAGTGAAATGCACTCTTATAAATCCCCCAATGTATAAGCCATAAGGACTTGTGAGAAGAGCATGAAAGATAGTTCTCCATACAGGTGCCGCAATCTCCAAAGCAGTCACAAAGCCCAACCGACCACTTCCCTGACATGCTGCTGATTTCTTGTGGTTGTGATCTGTGGAATATGGAAATAGATGGTGTGTAGCTGTGCCTTTGCGAGCAAGAATACCTTGATCCCGTTGGTATTTATAAACTAGCAACAACATGGTATCAGTGCCTGTTTGCACAAGTATCTGCTCATAGTAGATTCCAGTGCATCATTTTTGTTGTCTCATGGGCTTTCTGCTTTCTTCTTGCACTTTAATGTTGTATGTTGTGTTTACAGGTTTTGCTGTAAATTAGCGTTTTTAGTCACATCATGTTCACTTGGCTTGTTCTGTTTGATTGCTCCTTCGGGAAATCTTATGCTCAGTTAGCATCTGGCAGCTATTTGGAGTTTCCAGTTTTGGTTGTAGCATAGACCCCTTTTGTTCTTTTGCATCATTCATTACTTGGCAAGTAATAGCTGCTATGATGATTGGAATTCGTGGGCTGACGATGATCACGATGATTGGAATCCAGTCTCACTATGTTTTCAGTTTCATTAGTCGTGCAACACCTGATTGAAGCTATGGAAAATGTCACTGCAGTCCTCTTTCTGAGGCTTTTCAATGTAAATTCAAGTTGGATAAGATCTTCTGCTTCCGAGATTTCCTTGAGGAGCTCATACTGTACCCTTAATAAAAGCCCCAAATTTCGGTTGCTGTTTTCTAGTTTCTTAATCGCCTCCAGTTCTGTGCTCGCTTTGGGTTTTGTCCATTTGTATTTGGGAGGCATTATCTGGCTCTGCTATCTGTACTGTACAAATTATATAACCTACAGCTAGCTAAGATATTGACCAATTTGCACAGTTATGTGGAGATCATTTGTCATACACCGTGAAGTACCGTTGTTGGTGTGCCAGGGTTTGCTCTTGCAAGTCTTGAGCTAAAGAATTTGCTGATCTGTCCCAAACTGATTGGCTACAGGACAGGCTATGGCGCAGTCAATGTACAAGGACTACATCATGCATGCATGACATTGACAATATGGTCCATATTCTGGTTTGATTTTTACCTTTTTTCCCTGTGGTTTAATCTTTCCTAGGACAATGTTTCGTGTGGCTGAACTATCTCTTGTGTGAATTTTTGCCATCTCGACTATGAGCTTCTGCAGATGTCAGAACCTTTTCAACCTTTCTTGCTTGTTCTATAGCCTTTTTTAACATAATTTTTTCTTCAATCATCTTAAGCATACAAGATATCCAATCTTCAAGTATTATATTTCATATCCAGTTCGGCGGTCAGTACCAAGTCAAGAGACTCATAGCTTTACAAATTGAGCAGTACATTTTAGTTCATATGCCACTAAACTTCAGTATGGTCTACAACCATATAATGCTCGACTGTCATCAAGACGTCAAGTAACAGATCACATAATATATGTTGCCTGCTGGTGTGAGAAAACATAAATGAAAGTAAAAAATTGAACCAAAATCACATGGACAGATAAAAGGATATTTAAGAACTTGGTTACCAAATGGAGCAAGTCATATAAGCCCGCCTTTATTATCCCTTTGGATGTTGGAGAACATCGCGTAACAAAAATTAACAGAAAACAGTAGAGCCAATCATCATATTCATAGCCATCAAATCATGGACATGTTCTAGAAGCACATCGCTTGCTTCACTGGTGCTTTCATGCCTTGCACACACCCCACAAACTTGTTGCTACCTTTCCATCCTGCAAATGAAAATGGTGTAGAGCATGATTTAGTCATGATTATTTCTTCTTTGTTAACATTAATACTCATGATTATGCTTTCTTTCAGTAAGACGCAGAGACCTTTGGCCATGTTGAAGCCGCGATTTTCCAGCTCCCTGTACTCTTGGCATAGCGCGCAACTCGGATAGTGGAGGTGGACTTACCAGTCCATGAAGGGCCATTCTTGCAAGTTATATTGAGACCGCATCGCCGAGCGTTTGGGAAAAGAATACAACCAGTGGCAGCATAAGAGCGACAGGCAAACATACAGGGTCCCACTCATGCAGCATGCTGAAAACGAGGAGAGTCAGCCGAGAAGATCGATGATTTTTATGCTTCAAACCAAGCACAAATTCTAAGAGAAACACCTACATGTGGAGCCTTTGTCTGCAATCTCAGCAATGCGGCCAAAGGTAACACAGGGGCACCAGCAAGTCAAGCAACCTGCAATGTTAGGAAATATAATGATACACAAATGAGTACTGCAAATGGGGTAAATAATCCAGTCCCCCAGTACTTTGCATGCTGCTTTACAAAACCCATGTATAAGAGGCACAAGAAGAACAAAAAAAGGCTAGCTCTGCATACAGATGTCAAAATCGTCAAGGCAGTCGAAAAGCCCAACTGACCACTCCGCAACCATGGTACTAGTTAGTTTGGTAGATTGTGAATTTGTAACCTATGGAGTTCGGAATAGCGTGGTGTGCAGCTGTGCCTTTGTGAGCAACCAATGTTTATATACTAGTAGTAATGGTGCAGTACTAGTTAGAAGATATGAAAAGGTCAATTGATTCAACCGACTCCAGTGCAGAAATTTCTTTCTTGTTTTTATCAGTTTTCTCTTGCAATCTGCACCGGTTGTTGTTCGCTAATGCTGTGTTTACAGGTTTGGCTTTGGATTGGTCTTCCCAAGGACACCGTGTTCAATTGGCATGTTCTGCTTTGGATCAATCTTTTGGAAATCCCATGCTGAATCAGCATATGTCAGCACTTTGGAGCTTCCAGCTTTGGTGGTAATTTCCATGCCGTATCGTCGTTTTCCTTATGTATGAAATCAGCCTGATAGTAAAATACTGATGATAATCACCATGTCGATCTCGGTCTAAAATGGGGGAACCATGCCTGGTGATAAGCTTGTAAAAGTGTTGGTCATAACTTCTCCCTGTCCAAGCCTACAGATAGCTAAGTAATTAACGAATATTGCACAGTTATTATGTGGAGATCCAATATCATATACTGTAAAGTCCCCTCGGTGTGCCAGGGCTTGCTCTTAAAGTTTTGAGATGAGGAATTCGCTGATCTGGCCCGAACTGATTGGCTACAGGACTAGAGGGTACCATGAAGTCAACGTAAAATGACTACACCATGCATGCAACATGGTCCATATTCCGGTTTGATTTCTTTTTGCCCTGTGGTTTATATCTTTCTTAGGACAACGTTTCATGTTTCATGCGGCTGAACTACCTCTCGTGTGATTTCTTTTGCCATCGCAATTATGAGCATCTGTATATGTCCAATCTTTCTTGAAATTTCTTGCTTGTTGTGTAGTTTTTTGTTATCATATTTTTCTTCAATCATCTTAAGCATACAGGATGCCCCATATTTATTCCCCATGCCAGTTCGGCAGTCAGTATTGAGTCAAGAGATTCATAGCTTTATAGCTTGAGCACTGCATTTTAGTTCACAGGCCACTAACTTCAGTACAGTCTACAACCATATAATGCTTCTCAAGTGACAGATCATAAATGGAAGTACGAAAACTGAATCAAAATCACAAGGACAGATAAAAGGAGATTTAACAACTTGATTACCAAATGGAGCAAGTCACTAGGCCTGCCTTTATTTCCCCTTTGAATGTTGTAGAACATCATCAAATGAAAATTAACAGAGAACAGGAGAGCTAAGAGCATCATTTTATAGACATGTTCTAGAAACACATCCCTTGCTTCCCAGGTGCTTTCATGCCTTGCACACACCCCACCATCTTGTTGCTACCTTCCCATCCTGCAAATGTAATGATTTAGTCATGATTACTTTGCCTTTGTGAAACCGCATGAATTTTCTTGACTATGCATTCTTTCAGTAAGACGCAGCGACCTTTGGCCATGTTGAAGCCACGGTTTTCCATCTCCTTGTACTCTTGGCATAGCGCGCAACTCTCACAGAAGAAGTGGACACAGCAGTCCATGCAGGGCGATGCTTTCAAGTTGTATTGCGACCGCATCGCCGAGCGTTTGGTACAAGAATACAACCAGTTGCAGCCTACGCAAGCCAGGCAAACATACAGGGTCCCATTCATGCAGCATGCTGAAAACAAGGAGACTCAGCCACAAAGATGGATGATTTTTATGCTTCAACCCAAGCGCGAATTCTAAGTGAAACACCTACATGGGGAGCCTTTGTCCACAATCCCAGCAAGACGACCAAAGGTAACACAGGGGCACCAGAAAGTCAAGCAACCTGCAATGTTTGGAAATGGAGCGGAACATAGATGAGTACTTTGCAAGTTTGCATGCTGCTTATGAAACCCATGTACAAGGGGTGCAAGAAGAACAGAGCAAAAGCTAGGTCTGCATACAGGTGCGGAAATCCCCAAAGCAGTCGAAAAGCCCAACTGACCACTCAGCAACCATGGTGCTAGTTAGTTTAGTAGATTGTGGATCTGTGATCGTTGGAGTATGGGAATAGCAGCGGTGTGCAGCTGTGCCCTTGTGAGCTTTGATGCTACCGATGTTTATATACTAGCAGTAACAGTGCAGTATCAGGTATGACAAAGTCAATTGCTTCAGCAACCAATTCCAGTGCAGCGTTTTTGTTTTTGTTTTACGGGGTTTCTCTTGCAATCTGCACCGAATATTGTGCGCTAGTGCCGTGTTTACTGGTTTTGCTTTGAATTGGTCTTCTCAAGGAAACCGTGTTCAATTGGCATGTTCTGCTTTGGACCAATCTTTCTGGAAATCCCATGCCCAATCAGCATATGGCAGCATTCTGGAGCTTCTAGTCTTGGTGGTAACTTTCATGCCTTATCAAATCGGCTTGATAGCAAGTAATATACTATAATGATAATCACCATTTAACTCTCCATTTAGAGTAGGGGAACCATGCCTGGAGACAAGCTTGGTAAAGGTGCCAGTTATAAATCCAAGCCTTTAACCAGACACTTGCCAGTTAACATAACGTATGGTTTCTGCACAAAGGTGTGTCCTGCTTGAACTTTCTGGTTACGGCCACGGTTTTGTTTTTCGTATCGCCAACTAGAGCTAGAGTATTCCCTGTTGGGGATGATGTTGATGTGCTTCTTTTGATCTTCTACTGATAGGCTACCATCTGCTTGTTGAAGCTGAAAGTTCTGTAACAGTTGAAACAAATTTGGTAGAAACTGAATATTCAGAGTAGCAACCAGTCGGGTAACGCCTCCTGGCAACCTAAAGAATATCGGCAAAATGGAATGTTTAACACTGTTCTGGGGGCTGGGGGCTGTTGGCAGCGAGTTTTTCTTTGGAACTGTAGTGAGTGTTTTCGTTGCTTATTACATGATGGTTGTCCCGGATAAGGTTTCTGGTTTCGAGGGGAAACAGTTTGTTTTGGATAGGGTGTGTTCAGCTGCAGCAAAAGATCAGGCCACGCTCGCTCTATGCAAATACCTCTCGGGCTCGGTCAGTTCCGAAAGAGAAAAGTACTGCGTTAGTTATATTTTGTTTTACAACATCTACAGACAGTTTTTTTACTGAACCAAACACACAACCTAGTTTTATTTTTCTTTTAAAATGCCATGTCCTACTTCCATTTCTAATCTTTACCTATACTTTTATTAGTTCATATACATGTATCATTATATTGAAAATACATAAAGTTCCCCTTTTATATTTACATCCTTATTTTTATTGTTGTTTTCCCTCCCAGCGCTGATATTTTTATCACTGGTTTTCCCTTAAACCAACTCAATTGTCCCACGTCTTGTTTGCTTACAAAAAACAAAATGATTTTTTTGACAAATTAATAAGTTCTCAAAAAAATGTTTATCATTTCGGGATTACAACAGTTCGGACTTCACGAAAATATGCAAAATAAGGTTGAACTTTTTGACCGTGGTATTGGACAGAAAATGGAATGTAATAAATTACTTAGAATTAGCAAATGGGCTGCAAATTATTAAAAAAAACAAATAAGCTTTATGTTGTCTATCATAGATTTGGAGGCTAACTTGTGGGCCTACTAAGTTCATGCGTACATAAAGTTTCTAAAAAAAACTTAGTCAACAATCAACTCTACCAGCGTCAGACCGTTAGATGTCAATCGAATGACAATCGTGCTTCTTCAGTCTCAGATCTTTCTGCTACACCCGCTCAAACTAGCGCCGGCGGAACCACCTGCTCCCGCCTCTCATGGCCGGCTGTGCTCCCGGGCAGGCCTTTACTCACCCACACCTCCTATTATTTTTCGGCGACGGCAACCGAACCAGTCAACCCTCGTACTCCTCACCGCGTGGGCAGCCACTGTCGTGTCTTCCTCGGCTCCGTGTCGTTCCCTTCCTAGGCCTCACCGTCGTCCATCGCCCTAGTGCTCTCGGTGCGCCGTGGTCAATGTGGTCAACAAACGACATCCATCGGACGTGGACTTTACGTCGAGAGGCTAACAACTGGGTCCACGGCCGCACACAAGGAAATGCCTCCTTATTACGCGCAAAATAATGATTCCTCCACCTGACATCTAGGACCCACCAGAAGGGCCTCTGTATTTCGTGAAAAAAACGCCCCCCCGCTGACAGGTCAAACCCACCAGCTATATCTTCGCACGCACGCAAGGAAGTGCCTCCTTATTACGCACAGAAAAATGAATACTCCCCCTGCTAGCTGGGACCCAGCATAGTGGGAGGCTGACATGTGGGCCTACTAAGTTGACGAGGACGGAGGGCTTTGTCAACTTAGTCAATATGAACGATTCTAGCTCCAGTGACTGTACGATGTCCATCCAACGACCGTAGTGCTTCTTCAACCTCTGGTCTTCTTGCTCCAGCCGCCCAAAGCAGCGCTGGTCGTGCCGCCTGCTCCTGCCTTCCGTGACCGGCTGTGCTGCCGCGGAGGCCTCGTCGCCCCCTACTACTCCCACCGCTGGCCAGGCCCTGCGACGACGGCAGCCTCACACCACAGTGGAACCAGTGAACCCTCATACTCCTCTCTGCGCGGGCATCCACTGCCGCGTCTTCCCCGACTCCACGTCATCCCCTTCCTAGGCCTCGCCGTCGTTCACCGCCTTGGTGCTCTTGGCACGGCGTGGTCAATGTGGTCAACGATCGACTTCCATCGGAAGAGTACTGTACGTGGAGAGGCTGACAGCTGGGTCCACGACCGCAGCAAGGAAGTGCCTCCTTATTACGCACAAAATAATTATTCCTCCACCTGACAGCAGGGACCCACCGGACGGGCCACCGTATTTTACAAAAAAAATGTTTTCCCCCTGACTGCTGGGACCCACCAGCTACATCTTTGCACGCAAGGAAGTGCGTCCATATTATGGGCAAAAACAATGATTCGCCCCCTGACTACTGGGGCCCACCAGCTACATCTTCGCATACAAGGAAGTGGCTGACAGTCGGGACCCACCTGGTCGATGCGTACGTAGCGTTGTCATTCTGGTCGCGAACGTGTACGTACATACTGGTCGATCGGTCTCTCTGCAAGTATAAACTGTGGCCGAGTAAGTAGCGGCACGTGTGTCATTGTAGAGCACCCAAAATAGCAGTTCACGCAGTCCCGTCTAAGTTTTGTACACGTACGTACAGCCAAAGGGCAAAGAATACGGCCCCATACGTACATACGGGCGGGGTCTCGAGCGCGTACTCGCGGACAACCAGGGCTTGTGTACATGGAGAGGCAACGGATGGGAGCAACGACGTCCTGTTCATCGGGCAGCGAACTGACTGGGCCGGAACGGAGAAACAATGTCGTGTTCATCGGGAGGCAACGGAACGCGTGCTGTTCATCGAGAGCCAACCGTCTTGGACAGAATAGCCGATGGAAACGAGGCCTGGCGTACCGCAAAACAAAGGAAACGACCTTGTGTTCGACCAGCCATGGTCGAAACGGGATCATGTTCATCGGGAGGGGTCTGCCGTACCGCAAAATGGAGGAAACGGACCTCCTACGGTGGAAACGGGGTCCTGTTGATCGGGAGGGGTGTGGCGTACCGCAAAATGGAGGAAACGGACTTGTGTTGGAGCGCTACGGTCGAAACGGGGGTCCTGTTCATTGGGAGGGGTGTGGCGTACCGCAAAACGGGACTCCACGGGATACTGTTCATCTCCACCGTCGACTGCCTCCACGGGCTACTGTTCATCCACCGTCGACTGCCTCCATGGGCTACTGTTCATCTACCGTCGACCTCCTCCAGCCTCCACCAGCGACTGTTCATCCACGGGCTCCTATTCATCCAGGCTCACACCGCGCGCTCCTCCATCAGCTACTGTTCAACCAACCCTACACATAGAAAACTGCCATTTGTAGAATGCTCTTTTGCTTCACTTATATTTGTTAGAGCGTGGGCATATCTTTTGTAGGAAGAATTAAACTCTCTTGCTTCACTTATATCTATTTAGAGAGATGACAGGAACTGGTCATTCACATGGTTAGTCATAAAATCCTACATAAAACTTGTAGATAACTGAATATGATATGTTTGATTCCTTGCAATAGTTTTGCGATATAAAGATGGTGATATTAGAGTCATGCTAGTGGGTAGTTGTGGATTGTAAAAATACTTGTGTTGAAGTTTGTGATTCCCGTAGCATGCACGTATGGAGAACCGTTATGTGATGAAGTCGAAGCATGATTTATTTATTGATTGTCTTCCTTATGAGTGGCGGTCGTGGACGAGCGATGGTCTTTTCCTACCAATCTATCCCCCTAGGAGCATGCGTCCATTACTTTGTTTCTATATCTAATAATTTTTTGCAATAAGTATGTGAGTTCTTTATGACTAATGTTGAGTCCATGGATTATACGCACCCTCACCCTTCCACTATTGCTAGCCTCTCTAGTACCGTGCAACTTTCGCCAGTGCATTAAACCCACCATCACCTTCCTCAAAACATCCACCATACCTACATATTATGGCATCTTCATAGCCATTCTGAGATATATTGCCATGCAACTTCCACCGTTCCGTTTATTATGACACGCTTCATCATTGTCATATTGCTTTGCATGATCATGTAGTTGACATCGTATTTGTGGCAAAGCCACCATTCATATTTTTTATACATGTCACTCTTGAGTCATTGCACATCCCGGTACACCGCCGGAGGCATTCATAGAGTCATATATTTGTTCTACTATCGAGTTGTAATTCTTGAGTTGTAAGTAAATAAAAGTGTGATGATCATCATTATTAGAGCATTGTCCCATGTGAGGAAAGGATGATGGAAGCTATGATTCCCTCACAAGTTGGGATGAGTCTCCAGACTTTACAAAAGAATAAAAGAGGCCAAATAACCCACAAAAAAATAAGAGGCCAAAGAATCCCACCAAAAAAATGAGATAAAAGAAAGCGTAATGATGATAAAAAAAATGAGATAAAAGAGAGAAGGGAGAATGTTACTATCCTTTTTTCACACTTGTGATTCAAAGTAGCACCA